TATATTTTTTATAGACTTCTTGGCACACGATGGATGATGTGGTCAACATACTGTTGGCTGTCTTTAGCTCCCAAGACCCATTTTAATATGTGCTCACATGGGAGTTCTAAGTGAATTATACAATTCTCAATCAATGATGATCAAACCTGCGACCTTTGGGCCATCAGGCAAGTTTCGAACTGCTTCACGACAACAACTTCCATAATTTATGAGTGCGCCAGAATTCATTCTGATCCTCTAAAATGTTGATTGATTTAATGTGTGGGTTATTACACCCGCATAAATATGGGACTCAACGTTTTATTATTTTAAAGCCCCACAACGGCTGTAGTCAGGGGCCCTAATTTAACCTAAAAGTTGAACAGGGTTTTTGAGACTTGTACGTGGGTGATTTTCATCCAAATGGTGGCACTTTGCTCACCAAGTGTTATTGATCTTTGTGTGTTCCTGGCGGGGTTGAACTTCAGTCTTTCAATATGTTGGGCTAGCACCATAAAATCAGTAAGCTTTGTCCAGTGTGCATTAAGGATAATCTGTTGATTAACTAACTAACTAATCAGTAAGCTGATAGTATAAAAATAAGTACTTTAACCCCATTCACCTGGAAACACTTAAATAATTGGGTCGTGACACATATGTAATAATTGGAGCTGTACCAAAGAGATCAACACAAGGCTTGATATGGCAACAGCCGAATACAATGTGGAAGAGCAAAATCAGCATCACAGTTAAGGTCATTATATACAAATCACTGGTATTGTCTGTTTTCCTATAAAAATATGAGAGTTGTACTATCACTGTGGAAATGGAAAAGATGATTTAGGCTTTTGAATGTAAATGTTACAGACACACTTTACGAATTAGTTATTTAGAATACAAAAGATGGATACGCCAGAGACAAAACATACAAATTTGCAAGACATCAGGAGTCTCTCTTGGCAGGGGTGAAATGTCGTAAGCTAGCTTGGTTCGGGCATGTGTTGAGACATGATTCGATTGCAATGACTGTACTTCAAGGAACATTAAGGGGTAGTAGAAGAAGAAGAGGACAAAGAAGTAACTGGAATGACAACATCAAGAAATGGACAGGACTAAGTTATCTTACACTTACTCATTAAGCAGAAGACAGAAGGATGGCAGGTTTTGCATGCTAGTGCTTTCATAATTACACCTTTCCGAACCTAACGGGTGTTATGTAATAACTTAGTTATAGCATTGAACAAATCCAGTAATACAGTTTGACAAAATTTCTGAGCTGTCTAGATCTTCTAACTTTTTTGGGGTAAAAATATGTCAGTTCTTTTAATCCGTGAGTATTAAGTAAATTTGAATTTAACTGCATGTGTCTTCATGTCTTTTCTTCTTATAATCTAAGCTGGGTGGCATTTGGTAATCACATCTGTCCACAGTCTTTTGTCTCTTATACTGTTGATCACTGGTGAGGCAGATGTTCCTCTATACCATGCTGATCAATTGTCTAACATCTTATCTCTTGGTCTTATCCGTCCCGAATTTACTGGGGCCCTATCTTAGGGGAAATGGCCCTTAAAAAGAAAATTGTTCAAGGTGACTAATTAAGATGTTGCTAAAATTTAATGTGTTGAGCTGAATGGGGCAAATATCACAGACTAACTAAGCCACAACACAATATGCCAACTGTCATTTTAAGGATGACTGAAAAAGAAGAAAAAAGAAAGTTGTTTCCTGTTTTTCTTCCCGTTATTCCCGTATTCATGACATCCTCAAATAATGTGGATCGCACACTTCCATTGTGGGTAATTACATTTAATATAAATGTATACCCTTTATTATTGTTTCATAAACTGTCCATTTTCATTTTAGCTGCAGCGGAGATCAGAGACAGTGATATCATGTCCCGACCTAGGATAGCGCCAGTTGGTTCTTTTGTACATATTACTTGTTCGGTAGCTGGGATTCCCCTCCCATATATTGAGTGGAGGAGAAATGGTGTTCTGGTCAGTATTCTGTTGTTATTGACAAATTGTTATTGTTTTCCCTTCGTAAATTTTAAGAAAGAAAACACAAACAGTAGACTGCACAATTTATTGCCTGGCATATTTCGCTGTAGCTTGTCAGGTGCATACAGTAACAATTGATTAAAATGAAGCGAGTAAATGAATTCTTTCAACTGAAACACAAAATGCACCTGATGATATACAGCGAAATATGCCAGGCAATCAGTTGTTTGTTTCTTCTCTCTGCATGTTATTATCCAGTTTTAGTTATCTTCGTTTAATTCATGTTTTATGACTTTCAAATTATCTTAGTCAAAAAGCCTCAAACCGTTAGCGGAATAAATCATATATGTCCTCTACTATTTTAGGGACCTAACCAGGAGTATACATAATGACTCCACAATCATCTATGAATGGAATTTTTTTCCCCCTTATGAGTTCCGGGGCCCTATTATGGGGAAAACAAGAATAGACCCACTGCTTACCCAAAAGCATGTTTTAAAAGTCCACTAATTGGGAGCTTCCTTAGAAGTGGGAGTGCATCTGCCTGAGAAGCAAGGAACCAGCAGTCTGCATACAAATGAGTCAGTCTGTAAAACGGATGCACGTGCAACACTCAGGTTCTGAAACTGGACTGCAGTCCAGAAGTGGACAAACAACCAGAACTTTCCGCCACAGTTTACGTGAAGAAGAAGAAAAATTTGCTTATATTATTATTTGTTGTCCAGCTTCTTCAACTTCCTACATACATCTTTTCCTGCTTTCCTTTAGTTGCTTGCTTAGTTTTTTTTTTTTTTTTCGTATGAGGCTAATTTCTGTGTCATACATTTGCTGTTGGTATTCACCATAAATTTAATCCATCTCTTCCTTATAATTTTGATAAATGAACTTGTAAGACGTGCAACTTTCAGTATCACAGTGTATGTTTTGTTGTCTTTTCTTGATGTACAAGAGACACCCTGATTGTCGGCATGCAATACATCCTTGCATTGCTGACTATTGCAGATAGGCTAAAGGTGATGCAGTCTAAGTCATACCTCAAAGTAGCTGCAGACAGGGAACACCCTCTGTATGAAGCTTTGGCTGCAGGGAAGGGTCAGAGATTGAAAATGGGAAAATCGTGGATGGCTCAAGCAGAAGACACAATAAGACAAGTGTGATGCTGGAGAAAATGGAGCGAGGAGGGGAGTGGGTCAGAGAATCTTTTGCATCTGGTTAAAGGTCACCTTTGCCATGGTCATTTTTATTCTAATTTCTGTAAGGCATCCTAAATTGTTGAATCTGTTCTTGTTAGTCTTCTTTTCTCTACTCCTGGAATGCCTAGCAGCATCAGGGGGAGAAAGAGATCTCTAGAAAGTGCTCTTCTGTTCGCTTTGTATATAGTACTTTTCAGTATCTCTGATATTTCTGTGGTCCATATTCTGTGTGGTCAGCCTCTGGGTCTGTTACTACTGTACCTGTATAATATTGTTCTCTGTGGTGCCCTGTCTGCTGCCAGTCTTGTTACATGGCCAAACCATTTGATTTGTTGTCTACCTATAAAGTTCAGCATTGGTTCTGTGTCATTTCTCCTCCTGATATCATCATTTGTAAGTCGATATTTCCTTTTATCTGTAACTTGCTTAATAAGAATGTTGCCGTTGGCATGTATGTCACATTTTGGTATTTCTTTCTTCTAGGTGATGACCATAATTTCGGTTTTTTGTTTTTTTTTAGTGAAATTTAACTCAGATCTGTTTCTCACTGTGAACTATTGCTTCCACTAAACGCTGCAGATAGTTATTGTCTGTATATCATCTGCATATCTTATATTATTGATCCCTCCATGTTTATTCCCTTCCAAGTCTTTCAGATGTCATATAATATTTTAACTATACAAAGAAAAAGATCTGGAGATATCAAACATCCCTGTGGCACACCTCTCGTGGTTGGTTGGTACAGACCTACTTCATTATCTATTCCTATAGCAACATATTGTTTCCAGTATATGTAGTTTATGTTCTTAATCAGTCTAAGGTTTGTAGATTTGTAAGCATTTTTATCATGATGATGTGTCTGTCTTACTCTGTCAAAATCCTGTGTGTAATCATTAGAGCAGAAATGAAGATCTTTATTTACTTCTATCAAACTTCTGTTATTGTTTTCAGGAGATATACAGCATTTATTGTACTCTTGACTTCTTTGAACTCACATTGCTTTTCACCTATGTCTTATTGTATTTTCTTCCTTATCCTTTCTTTGCATGCTGATTCTTAGCAAAACCCTTAGTGATGTGACTCATGATGCTAATTGTTGGATTGTGATCACATTCTAAGGTCACTGGTTTTTTTCTGGGGGGGGGGGGGGGAGGAAGGGGAGGGGGGGGGGAGGGAATTGCAGCAAACATAGGTTGGCGCTGGCTGCTGTTAATTTTTATGTGTGTGGTAATTATGACTGGTCCGGCACTGGGCAGGAGCAATTTCATTATTGCCACATAAAGTGTATATCACAAAGATGAATAAAACAAGCATAAATCTGTAATCTTTTGTTCATATGAGGGTACAACCTGGAGATGCCTTAAATTAACATTTCACTATGGGCAGTCATAGGTCCCATAGCCAAATTATGGGGTCAATAATATAGATCCACTGCCCTTCTAACAGAAAAAACACCTAAAAACAAAACAAAAAAGTTAGTTGTATATCCTTTACAGGACGTTGCAGAACCAACTGCCAGCATTTTTTTTGGCTGTTGTGGTTTTCTAGGCAAATTTTACATTCATTTGTTTGCCATTGCTTTCTAAACGGTCAGCTCTTGGTAACGCTGTCGAAACCTATGCAAAACAAATCGTCTGCAGCCTGGGTCGAACCTAATACCCTCATTCACAACACCTAAGCCACAGACACTGAGCCTCTAACAAGCATGTTATAAAAGCTGACAAATTAGATATTAGCTGAAAAAGCAAGTGTTTTGCTGAAAGGCGCTGATAGTGCAACCTCGCTGTAAACCACAACAAAGCAAGGCAATTGTTCTTTTTTTTTAAGTATGAATGCAGAAGAAAGACTAAGTATGAATGCAGAAGAAAGACTAAGTATGAATGCAGAAGAAAGACTAAGTATGAATGCAGAAGAAAGACCAAGTATGAATGCAGAAGAAAGACTAAGTATGAATGCAGAAGAAAGACTAAGTATGAATGCAGAAGAAAGACTAAGTATGAATGCAGAAGAAAGACTAAGTATGAATGCAGAAGAAAGACTAAGTATGAATGCAGAAGAAAGACTAAGTATGAATGCAGAAGAAAGACTAAGTATGAATGCAGAAGAAAGACTAAGTATGAATGCAGAAGAAAGACCAAGGCCACAGTATTTTTGCCTTATAAGCACAGAATTGACCTGATCTGCCATTGGACATTTATGAAGCTACTGAGGTGGTGATCATAGCACCTGTGGACCTGTCTGGACTACTGTAATATTCCTCACAATTACTAATTTTGTGTGTGAATTAAATGAAATATTTCTGTATCTGTATATATAGTTTCCTGTTGGATACCCTCTTGCTGCTGCGTATCAAAATCTTCTTTGTTGTAGAATTGTATTGCTAACTGATGTTGCTGCCTTTCATCATATACAGCAGACATTACAATCTCGGTGTCTCCATTTTTTAGATGAAAGGCGTTTCCATAATAGATTAATAGTATCATTTACTACTCAGTCATGTATGGGTAATTGGTGGCATTGAATAGGACAAAGAGGGAGAAAATCTATTAATAGTATAACCAGAGTGTGTGTTCACTGGAACCCACTGGGTCAGAGGAATAAATGCAGACTAAAAGCATATGAAGCAGAGCTGGAGAATGAGGTTAAAAAAGATGATATGGGGTGAGCTAATTCTGTTGGCGAAAGCAAGGAAGATTTGGTGAAAGTTGGAATGAGTTATTTGAGGATATATAGGCCATAGAGGCTAAAACTAATGTGAACAAAATATGTCAACAGAGATGTCTAAGAAGAATTTCTGGAGTAACACAACAGAGATGTCTAAGAAGAACTGCTGGAGTAACACAACAGACATGTCTAAGAAGAACTACTGGAGTAACACAACAGACATGTCTAAGAAGAACTGCTGGAGTAACACAACAGAGATGTCTAAGAAGAATTGCTGGAGTAACACAACAGAGATGTCTAAGAAGAACTGCTGGAGTAACACAACAGAGATGTCTAAAAAGAACTACTGGAATAACACAACAGAGATGTCTAAGAAGAACTACTGGAGTAACACAACAGAGATGTCTAAGAAGAATTGCTGGAGTAACACAACAGAGATGTCTAAGAAGAACTACTGGAGTAACACAACAGAGATGTCTAAGAAGAACTACTGGAGTAACACAACAGAGATGTCTAAGAAGAACTGCTGCAGTAACACAACAGAGATGTCTAAGAAGAACTGCTGGAGTAACACAACAGAGATGTCTAAGAAGAACTACTGGAGTAACACAACAGAGATGTCTAAGAAGAATTGATGGAGTAACACAACAGAGATGTCTAAGAAGAACTACTGGAGTAACACAACAGACATGTCTAAGAAGAACTGCTGGAGTAACACAACAGAGATGTCTAAGAAGAACTGCTGGAGTAACACAACAGACATGTCTAAGAAGAACTGCTGGAGTAACACAACAGAGATGTCTAAGAAGAACTACTGGAGTAACACAACAGACGTGTCTAAGAAGAACTGCTGGAGTAACACAACAGAGATGTCTAAGAAGAACTGCTGGAGTAACAAGAAGAGAAAACATTGAAAATGATGAAATTAGAACAAGGCAAACATGGAAGTCAAAGTCATACAGTTTGTCAGAGAGCAACAGATGAGATGGTTTGCACATCTGAAGGGAATGTCATAGAGAGCCACATGCTGACAGAAATGGGAGAAACCATGCAGAAGAAGGAATAAGGGCAGAAAGTGCATCGTTAAAGTATGGGATCAATTTATACAACATATTTAAATAAGTACACACAAGATTCTTACCTGCCCCCCACCCTTAACACTTTAATAAAATAACTGAAGGAAGTGAAGAAGAAGAAAAAAAAACTTATTTTATTTGTGATAACAATTTGAGTAGTCAGATGATTTGTTCTGTAAGTATATTGTGATTCTGCTGCTGACAGATCCTGAAGAACCAAAGTAACCCAGAGATTCAGACTGAGCATGTCACATCAGAAGTGACCCTCTCCTCAACTTTGAGAATCCCTGTGACACAGTCAGTGGTGTACACATGCTCTGCTATCAACTTTCCTCTACGAATTCTGGCTAATGCATCCATCACAATCCAAGTCACAGCATTACAAACCTCAGGTATGTCTCCTCTCTCTGTTTCTCTCAATCTATCATTTCTCTCTGTCTTTCTCTCTGTCTGCATGTCTCTTTCTCCCCCTCCCAATTTTTTTCTATCTCGCTTTCCATATGTGTGTGTGCATGTATGTGTGTGTGCCTGTTTTAGTCTGTGCTCAGCTATCTCCGTCTGTCCATGTCTGTGTTTCTCTCTCATTCTTTTTCTCACTCTTTGATGTGTATTCTGCTAGAAAAATCTGCTCTTTGACTCTCGTGTGGGTTCTATGGCTCCATTGTGAGGAAAACAAGAATAGACCCACTGCTCTCTAACAAGCATATCGTAGGAATCAACTGACTGAGGACTTCCTTTGAAGTCAGAGTGCTTCTGCCTGAGAGGCAAGGAACCAACAATCTGAGGCAAGGAACCAACAATCTGCATACACTCAAGTCAGATCTGAAAATGATTGTACATGCAACATTCAGGTGCTGGAACACGACTGAAGTCCAGAGGTGGACAAACAATCACAATTTTCTGCTGTAGTCTGCAGTCAGTGAACACGAAGAAGAAAGATGTCTGTCAGCAAAATGTCGAAAAGGCATGTTCAGAGACGCATTAACTGTTAAAAATTATAGATGTATTACTTTCAAAGAATTATATACAGAGTGAAAGATAAAAAAGATAACAATCATTGGCTCAAATGCAAGTGGTTAGCCGGTTACCCATCTTTGAACTGAAAGAGCTAAGACTGTCTTTTAAGAAAACATTCACTTACTGTGCACTATGCAAGCCTGCTGAGATCATGTCTTGGGTTCGAGACATAGATGTGGCAGCATTTCTCCAGCCAGCATTGCTGTTGCATTGGCAGTTAAACATAACACACTTCTGGTCAAAATAGACGCTAGGCACGGCCACTGTTTTGAGCTACGGCAATTTTTTTTTTTCCAGACGGTGGTCGTTGCATTTTTGCTCCATTTGTAGACTAAAAGGATATAATTTCGTTGCCCAGCTTCTAAGTTAAGTGCATGGCGTGACACTGTGGATTTGATTTGGAATGTGACCAACATGGTGTTGTGATTTGTAGGTTCAGAAAATTGCAATGCCGGTAGTCCCAATATTGGTGGTGCCATTATGTGATTAAAATTGATCGCGTGTGCAACTGCTGATCTGTTGGTGACTTATGCTAGTGCTACCATCTGCGATGAACTGCATTTTTAATGTCGGACTGTTTGTGTTAGCACTTCGGATGGCTACCGTTTGCTTTTAATGCGTGTGTATGCTAGTATATTTCAGACAACAGTATGTCAATCTTTCCACAAGGGACTGATAAACATTGGGTGTGTTTTTCGTTGGCACAGGAGCGGAGCAACTATGGGGTGACCCGTTTGCTATGAAGCTGAAACTAAGATTACCAGATTGGCAGTTGGCCTTGCCTCTTCCCATGTGGGTTATTCTGCCTCATTTTAAGAAGATAAAAAAAAGAAAAAGTTATGTTGTTATATACTTTTAGCTGTCATTCCATAGTTTACACAGTCTTCCCCTTCTTTTGTGTCCATTATATGTTTTCGCTGCAGTTTTCTGTGGCAGTTACGTTAGTACCAGTGCATTTTCCTCTGTTATCTATACTACATATGTTGTATACCATAAAAGGCTAATTAGGGGTGTTTCCTTTGAAGTTAAAGTGCTTCTGTCTGAATAATTTCATTCATACATAAGAAATGAATCGAGGTAGGTTGTCACCATTGACCTGGGCTACTGTGTCAGCTAAGTTGTCACCATTGACCCGGGCTACTGTGTCAGCTAGGTTTCCACCACTGACCTGGGTTACTGTGTCAGCTAGGTTGTCACCACTGAACCGGGCTACTGTGTCAGCTAGGTTGTCACCACTGACCCGGGCTACTGTGTCAGCTAGGTTGTCACCATTGACCCGGGCTACTGTGTCAGCTAGGTTTCCACCACTGACCTGGGTTACTGTGTCAGCTAGGTTGTCACCACTGACCCGGGCTACTGTGTCAGCTAGGTTGTCACCATTGACCCGGGCTACTGTGTCAGCTAGGTTTCCACCACTGACCCGGGCTACTGTGTCAGCTAGGTTTCCACCACTGACCCGGGCTACTGTGTCAGCTAGGTTGACCCGGGCTACTGTGTCAGCTAGGTTGTCACCATTGACCCCGGCTACTGTGTCAGTCATACTTTGAATGGATAGTAGGAAATATCATGGGAAGTGAAGGTGACAAGCATGAATAATGTGAAGCTCATTACCATGTGACTGCTGATTGGTCTGTGCAAGTGTGGGGTTTTCACTATTTGCCTACTGTGCCAGTGGCGTAAAATATTGTCCTTTGCGTTCTTTAGTTTTGTTAACAATTGAATCAACTCTGACCCAGTTGTTATGGTTACTTGGTCCAGTCCATCAGATTGTAACTCATTACAACTGGGAGATTGCCATTCTGAAATACATTATGATTCCTGAAATCTATATTCAAATGTTTATAATACAACTACAACAAACAGAGATAAACCGTTGTCTGGTAATATCTGCTGCTCCAGTTTCTAAATTTAGATCATGAGTTGTCTGGTAATTAAATGGTCATCGATGTGAAGCTTCGGGTAAAAACTAAACAAATCCCAGTAAATAAGCGAATCAAGGAGTGAGGACAACATAAATGCTGGAGTTGAATATGGCATATTAAAAATACACCTGATAATAACTAGAATGTCCTTGCACCAAAATCCGCAGAGCTAATGGAATAAAAGAAGACAGAAAACGCATATACAAGATTAAGATGGTGAAGAGAAGAAGGAGAAGGTGGGGGGGGGGGTGTAGTATGAGGGGGAAAAGAGCAGATGTAGGAGCAAAAGAAGAAGAAAAATATTAAGGAGGAGAAGATGCAGATGATAGTGATGAAAAAGAGTAAGAATACCATTGTTAATGCCCTTAAAACTATTTTTTTAGGGTGGTGTGCGACAGTGGTTCTTGGGTCTAAGGTAAAGGTCGGAGAGACTAGTACCTTAGCCACGAACAAACAGCACACGTTCTGATGTTTATTGTAATAACAAGAATAGTTTTAGTTGGTAGCGTATCATTTATAAGACGTTGCAGTACCAACGCTAGCATTTTTATATGTGGCTTTTGTGGTTTTTCTAGGCCGATTTAAGTCCAGTAGTTTGCTGTTGCTCTCTGAATGGTCGGCTTCTCGATACTCCCTGTCGAAAACATTGAAAGGTGCAAGGCCCGCCGCTGGGATCGAACCCGGCATTATGAAGCCAGTTCGCAACGCCAAAGCCACAGACGCCGACAGCAAGAATAACAGACTGATTAGAATTTTAAAAATATTATCGGACACTGCAAAATATATAGGACTGAAACGGGGCCTTCTGTCTGGTTTTTTTGCTTTCCAATTCTGATGAGTTTTCTCAAATTAAGATAGCAGACGAGTTAGCCAGTTTCCAGTTTCACATATTTAAGGCTTAAAACATGAGCACCGAAGCAATATATAAACTACAGTAATCATTTCTGGAAAGTCCCATATAATAATGGTTGTTTTTCTTGTTTTCACCCATCTTATTTCTCGGGAGTACGGGGTTGCGAGTTTTTACACACACTCATGCTCAGACGTGTCAAAAGCTATATAATTTGCGATTGGTATATGCTTTTTTAAAGCAAGTAATTGCTCGGTTGGAGTAGTTGTTTCGTTTTTTTTTTTTTTTTTTGTTGTTGTTGTTTTGCGGCAGATGAAACGAAATCCGCGTTCTGCCAGCAGTATGGAGTTGTTAGTTATGAGAACTATTCCCCTTCCGACCAGGGGCGCTGACACATAAAAAAGGAAACGAGTAGGTGGCGGGGCTTAAGGTTTGTTCAAATGCACCATGAAAAAATAATCGGAATAATTATTATGGGTTATATGGCAAATTTATATAATAACATATGTGAAATAACTTGCAATGTTTTAACAGATATTTGAGAAAAGCATCTCTGCACATGGTGGGAAAGGGGGAAGGGAGGTTAGGTCGGTCATAAACACCTTGCAATTTTTTTAAGTTTGGGAATGGGGTGTAGAAGGAGGCATAGGTCGGTCGTAAACCCCTTGCTATTGTTTCAGGGTGGGTGAAGGCGGGGTTAAGTTCACCCGTAAAAGTGTCGAGGGCGAGTGAGAGAGAGAGATAGAGAGAGAGTAATCCGTAGGTCAGTCGTAGACCCTTTGCTAATGTTTTGGGGGTTGGAAAATAGGGGGGGGGGGCTGACTTCACCTATAGAAGTGTCGCGGGCGAGAGAGATGGTGGGGGAGGGGGGTGGTGAGTCGTAGATTAGTTGCGTATCCTTTACAGGATGCTGCAGAACCAACCCCAACAGCCCCTGGCTGTTGTGTGGTTTTTCTAGGCAAATACGTCCAGTAGTTTGCCATTGCCTCTGTACGGTCGGCTTTCTTGATACCACTGTCGAAACCAACACAAGGCACATGGCCTGC